GCGCGCGGCGAGGCGGGGCGGCTGGGGCCGCCTGGGCCAGTCTCGCCTTCTGCGGGTCCCTGCGCTGGGGCCCGACCTTCGCGGCCGCCTTCGTTTCCTCGGCGGTGAAGGTAGCGCTGCTGGCTGCGGCAGCCCCGCGTCCGTAGCCTCCGCTGCGTGCCTGGCGCCTCGCTCGCGCGCCTCACGCTGGGCTGCGCCTAGAGGTGGAGCGCCCGGCGCGGAGTCACCCTGCGGGGACGCGGTGGGCGCGCCCCTTCGCCTCTCATCTTTCGCCCAACCCTGGGCGCAGAGCTTTCCCTGTGGTTCCGGGTTGCGGCAGAGTGGGTGTCAGGGATCCCCTTAAAACTGGATGTAACGTGGTTTGTGAGTTTCCTGGGAGAGGTCTTCCCGCGGCTTTTGTCCGACTCCCGAAAGTCTTCGTCCCTGAACGTTCAACAGCCAGTGGGCGCAGAGGTGGCCTTAAGCGACAGATGTGCACTAGGGGTGGGGTGTCAGGCGGAATGAAGTGGATTCTGGGAGTCCAGTGCTTGCCTTAGGCAAGTCAAACTTTAAAAAAAAAAAAAAAGTTTTGAATTTTGTTGAAGCACATGATTACACTTTTGGAACAGCGGTTGTCAATCTCAGAATCAAAGTCTCTCACCTTCGTGGCAAATTTGTGTCTAAGCCAACTTTGCCGCCCTGAAGTGAAATTCATAAATAATGTAATCTGTCCACACATAAGTGAAAGGCTACATGATGGCTCCATTTAAATGTAAGGGAGAAATAAAAGGAGAATATATGACTTGCATTGCTGTGTCATTTAGAGCACACACTGGTGTGCTTCCAGAAAACTGCATGTACTAGGGTGCTTGTAGCTGTTTAATAAATACATTTGGATTGGTATTACCAGGATCTATTTCAAATAAGAAAGCCAAAGATCAGAGGTCTAGGTGGACACTAGGGGAAACACCACCTAGTATTGAAATAATCTATACTTGTAAAAGGAGAAACACCATAAATTCAACTAGGGATAACATACCAGGAGAATTTACAAACTTCCTCAGTCAACCCATAAGTAGTATGACCCCATCATGCATATTTTATTTTCTTCTTATAGCACCTTTTGTAGAGACTTGGAGATACTGCTACTTCAAGAGGCAATACCAGGTTTCTATTGTTTATTGTTCGTAATACTGAATAAAACATTAAAATTGAAATTTTTTGATTCAGTACCAGTATCTCACTAGTCTGAGACAGATGCTACTTCTCACTGTTAGTATATATGCTAATGCTATAATATGCTCAGTGTTGTGATTCTGTAATTTATATTGAATTACTTAACAGTAATTCAATATGATGTGAGTAAATGAGCATTAATTTTGAGAAAATTTCCTTTTTTGCTTAAACCTTTCCTCACAACTTTCTCCTGCGTAACAGGACAAAAAGGGGATGGTTTCTCATCTTGTAAAAACTTTTCAGTGTTTTATTCCTAAGTAATGTTAATTTATAGTGGGTTTAATCCTACCAGACATTCAGAAGACTCTTTTTTGTGGTACTGGGGCTCAAACTTAGGACCTTGTGCTTGCCAGACAGGTGCTTATGTCACTGAGCTATACCCCCAGCCCTTCAAAAGATTCTTTGGACCAGGGCAGATCTTGATTATATAGATTCATTCCGCCATGCATCTTGTGAAGTCTAGATCCAGGCCTAGAAATACTAAATAAAAGCCAGTGGACCCGCAGTCTTTTTAGTAACTAGCAGTGTTCCTAAGGGTAGGTCTGTCCCCTTGAGAACTGTAAGGAATAATCTCCATGAAGCGCATGATTCTATGAGTGCTAGAAGAAAATAAAATATGCTTGATGGGGTCATACTACTTATGTGTTGACTGAGAAAGTTTGTAAATTCTCTTGGTATGTTATCCCTAGTTGAATTTATGGTGATTCTCCTTTTTATAAGTATAGATTATTCCAATACTAGGTGGTGTTTTCCCTAGTGTCCACCTAGATCTCTGCTCTTTGGCTTTCTTGTTTTTATTTATTTTTTTAATTTTTATTTATTTATGTGTGTGTGTGTGTGTGTGTGTGTGTGTGTATGTGGCCAGCTCAGCCCACCAGGGGGCGGGGCTGACTGGCATGTGGTGCTGGGGGATTGAACCGTGGTCCCTATGCTTTGCTAAGCTTGTTCTAAGTAGGTGCTTTAGACCACTGAGCCATCTCACCAGCCCCTGGCTTTCTTGTTTTAAATAGATCCTGGTAATACCAATCCAAAGTTGAGCAGAATTTAACTCAACTTTTGTTGGAATTTTTTTTTTTAATGTATTTGATATAGGGTCTCACTATGTACCTCCGACTCATAATGATCCTCCTTTTTTCAGCTGCCCCAGTACTGGGATTACAGGCGTGCGCCACACACCCTGTCTCGAGTTGGAAAAATATTTTAAAAAGTTATTTCTAAAATGTAAGTCAAACTTTAGTTAATGATGCATTTTTCTAGACTTTCAGGTGGCAGTGGCAGTGCCTAACCATTTGAATTATTTTTTGTGTGTTTAATGAGAATTTTTGTTAGAAATATCGAACAATTGCTCAGCGATAATATATACAGTAAGGGAAAAGTCTTGAGTTAAAAGTATAAATCAATATGATCACCATTTTTTTCCTGTAGTGGAGATTAAGCCTAGGGGTGCTTACTGAATTGTCAGTAAGCTAAAAAGGTATAATTCAGGAAGCCTTTTTTTTTCTTTTTCTTTTTCTTTTTGCAGTACCAGGGTTTGAACTCAGGATGTTGTGCTTGCCAGGCAAGCGCTTATTCTACTGAACTATCTCTCTGGCTCCTGAAAAGGTATAATTCAGTAAGTTAATTTGAAAAATGGAGATGTACTAAAAGGTGAGGACTAAAATTTCCTGTAATCACATATGCTAATCAGCATAGTATGATTTGTTACAGATTATGTTTTCATTTGAAACTGCTTCTTTTGCTTCTATTGAAAATCTCAAATTAAGTTTATTCTATTTTATAGCAATAGTTCCACATACACTATACAAGTTCTTCAAGATTTTCTTTAAAAGGAAGTTTATTTTGCCTTTTAAAAAGTACATAAATTGCTTCTTGCTATAAGATGTTTGTAGCTTGTTACTTTTGAAGGTAGCTATGGAAACTACTAAAGATTTGTCAAGATAGGATTCACATGAAATTGTCTAAAGTTAGATATTGAATCTGAATTGGAAAGCCATCCAAATTGAAAGTAATTTTTAGTATTTTGAGCAAGCATTATCCTGTTCCAGGGTAAGAAAAGTCAACATTGCTTTTAAAATCATTACTTTAAAAATATATACATATTTTTTTTTTTTTTTTTTTTTTTTTTTTTAGCAGTCACCTTTTATTGAGCATTAATTCTCACTTAGGCTTTGAACAAATTGAGCCATGATTAAGCTGTTCATAGACTGGAGCTGGACAAGGCAGTCACAGGCTAGAGTGCATAGTGCCCTCCACACTGGCCCCTTTTCAGTGGTACTTGGGTCGCTGCTCATGTTTGAGTTCCTTGTAAGAAAGGCAGTAGTTGAAAGGGACATAGGCTGCCAGCACCATGTTCACCCCCGCGATCCCTTTCTTCATGTTGATGTACTTATTGTAATACCGGTAGCAACCTCTCTGAAATGCTCCAGCAATGCCGGTGGGGGAGAAATCCCGCATCAGTATCCAGCTGGGCAGCTCCCCTACTTTCACATCCGAGAGTCTCTTCTCTTTCAATGGTACAGTGGAAGCCATCTTGAAGTCCTGATGTTCCCAAAGTGGACCGCGCCAAAAATATTTGTTTTTAAAAGAAGTAAGTATGAGTTACAAAGGTATTTGTAACAGATAGTTACATCGATATTTTCAACATCTGTTATTCTGAATGTCTAGTTTTCTAGGCATTACTGAGTGGACTCTATCCATGCCCCTTTTTTGAGAGAAAAGATATTAACTAGAATGAAAATGAATAATTTTCCATATACATACATTGTTGATTTATAATTCAGGTACTATATTTCATTGCTTTTTAAGATGCTTATCTGAGATAAAATGGCATCTTAAAATTGGCATGTTGTGATTTAATTGGCAGCTTTTCTTTCTGAGGGGTATAAAAAAACAAGTGTGTCTTGCAAGTAATGGGATCTTAAATTCAATGAAATATGGAATATAAAAAATGTTATCACAATTTTTAGTGCCAGAACTTTGCACAGTAAAGATAACATTTCTAGATCCATCCATCTAAAGTAAAATTCTTTACCCATGATACTCCATAGAGATCTTTCTCCCTATATAAAAAAGAATAAAAAATGTTTGTGAATTTAACCCCAGCCTTTTTTGAAAATGTTTAGAAGGAAACATTGCTTGATGCTTTTTCTTGAAGAGTAGATAATATGGTATTTGAGGTAAAGTTACTTCAGCAATATAAACATGTTTGTATGTATATGAAGTTTTTTGTTTGCTTATTTATTTGATTTTGTTTTTCCATTCTGAATGCTTGTAGATTGTTATGGTTTGTGTATAGTTGTACCCCCAAAGCCTCATTTAGTATTGGGGGGCCTCTGGAGTTTGTGATTGATTACTATAGGTGTGGATGCTGCACCTGCCCTGGGGCAGGTAATTTGCATTTCAGTGTAAGGAGGAAAGAGAAGCTAGCTGCTTGAGCTGCTGCTACTCCTCCCTTGTGCTCTTGCTCTTTGCTGCTGCCATGAAAAGTTTCCCTTCTGCCATGTGCTGCTCTGTCTTGGAGCCAGCTGAGTATGGA